TGAATTGTGACGTCACGTTTTTTTAGTGTCATACAGCGTACTTATTTCGTAAAAATGCTAAGATTTTTAGAAGACTTAAGATTTTCATTTTTTTTTATTTTAGTAACTTATTAGTATAATGCGTCAAGCGTGTCTGTGCATTGTTCTTACATATGCGTATAGTATTGAAATATGTATCAGAGACATTGTAGAACATACTATTTTAAAAAAGAGTAACGAATGGAGTTTCTTGCTCGTTATTCTACAATACGTTATTCTTCCATTCGAATCTACATTTTGGAATGAGCACCTAGCTTCACCTAATTTCACTGACGGACTGACTGACAGACTATTATTTATTTTGTATTTGTTGACGTTTCAAAAGTACCAAACTATGGTTTAATTGAAATAAATGCTTTGACTTTGACTTTGACTAAAATTAAGTTGGTCATAAAATCAATTAATGAAAGTGTGGATATTTCATTGTATTGAACAGTCGAAATAATTTATTTTTGATTAAGGAAAGTACAAAATTGAAGAGTTTGTTTGAAATGCTATTTTGTCATTTTCACAATCTCACATCTCTCTGAACAAATTAGCAAAGATCTAGATTAAACTAAAGCTCTAATAGGTAGGTAATCTGAATAAAAGTTAATTTGCCATACCTATAAAATTTATAACATTATCGATCTTGTTACAATAATCTAATTACTAAATACTTCTAAAGCCTGAATATAACGTGAAAATTGGTTACAATTTAACTTGAAACCTTTTATTAGGTATTCCTATTAAAATAGGTTTCAAATAGACGGACTTTCAACAAAAAGGTTTACGGTGAAATTTGTAGGTACAGTAAAAAAGTTTTCGTACGTCTAACAAAGAATAATATTTTAATACCTATCGATATTAGAGTCTTTCTGAAATTAATATTAATATCAGTTTTATAAATCGTGTGTAGAAGTGTGGGAGAGCCATGCTTCGGCATGAATGGGCCGGCTCAACCGGAGTGATATCACAGCCTCACAGAAAACCGACGTGAAACAACGTTGTGATATGTTTCGTCGTGTGAGTGAGGTTACCGGATGCCCAATTACAACCTCCCCTCCCTTTCCCCAATCCCTGAATCCCCAACAATCCTCAAATTCCTAATCCCAAATGGCCGGTAACGCACTTGTAACGCCTCTGGTGTTCCAGGTGTCCATGGGCGGCGCCGATTGCTCGATGTGAATAGTGACTACAAATTTACGTCTATTGTTTTGTGTGCGTATTGCCTTGAACATTTTTTAACCTAAAAATCTTTGTTTTTACTTTATACATAGAAAATACTTCTTATGGCAACTTGTTTTGCCGCAGGACAAAAACGAAACAAATTTCATTGTGTATTTATGTTCTATTTTCATACTCAATAGTGATTATTGCTATAGTTAGACAATATAGAATCTCAGACTCTACGCTATCACAAGTAATTTTAGAAAAACCGAAATAAGTTAATTAATACCTTGATTGAATATACACCACTTGCTCAGTAGTCGCGCTTACGACTTCTGAACCAACTAGGTACTTACACTTGAGACCTTGAGTGCGCATAAAACATCAAACCTATTTATATTAATTAATCTCATTCGTTTATAAAATCCCATTAAAAATTAACAACATCATAGAGAGGCCATCTACCAACTCTGGCGTGTTCACATAACACGCAACTAATTAGTCGCAGCACAAGTCGTGGCGACTAATCGCGTTATCTCAATCAAGTGGCGAGTGCCGCCGGCTCGTCGGCTGCGTTTACTAGATTAGCAGACGTGTATCCCTTACTGCTTAGGTTGGGCTGTGTGAACCTGAGCTTAATACTATCTAGTACTCAAATTGGAACCTTAATTTTCTTTAAGTTAAATTGAATATTCTTTGTAAATTGAGTACCACTACCTACTTTTTTCTTCTGGTATTTTTCATAATAGGAACTAAAACAACCAGATTATTATGTTTAATGGAGCGATTTTTGAACAGAGCCCTTGATAGGTATGGTACGTCCTATTTTGACATGTTTCTATGACTAATGATCATAATATAGAAAGAGTAATAATAATCGCGGGTCCGCATTTGCCTAGAGCATTGTCCATGTTTTTTGCATTGTGCATAAGTCACGCGTATTTGCCAGCCGAAATGTTGAGGACTCTAGTAGTACCTGTTCCGAAAAACAAGACTGGCGATATGGCCGATAAAAATAACTATAGACCTATATCATTGGCGACGATTGTTTCGAAGGTGTTTGACAGTTTGCTTAACACGCAATTAAATAAATGTATACAACCTCATGATAACCAATTCGGGTTTAGGCCCGGATTGTCTACAGATAGTGCTATCTTGTGTCTTAAGCAGACTGTCAGATATTATATGGATAGAAAAACGCCCGTGTATGCTGGATTTCTCGACCTCTCAAAAGCGTTTGATCTGGTTTCCTACGAAGTTTTGTGGAAGAAGCTCAGTAATACGAAATTGCCAAAAGAACTTATTAATATCATCAAGTACTGGTACAGGGGCCAGGTCAATTGCGTCAGATGGGCTGGAGTCAGGTCGGACGTGTACGGGCTGGAGTGCGGGGTGAGACAAGGTGGACTGACATCGCCCACCCTCTTCAGCCTGTATGTGAATGACTTATTAGAGGAGCTCAGCCGCACTAGGTTAGGTTGCTACATAGATGGTGTGTGTTTAAACAATATTAACTATGCCGATGATATGGTGTTGTTGAGTGCGTCACCCTGTGGTCTCAGCAAATTGTTAGGGATTTGCGAGAGGTATGCGCTGCAGCACGGGCTTGTGTACAATGCGAAAAAGAGTGAGGTTATGGTCTTTGGGACCGGCGGAGGCGGTGCATTTATCCAGATGCCTACTATTAAATTGAATGGTGTTCCTCTACAGAGAGTACAACAATTTAAATATCTGGGGCACTGGCTGACTGCCGATCTCAAGGATGATACGGACATTGAACGGGAGCGGAGGGCGCTGTCTGTACGCGCTAACATGATTGCCCGTAGGTTTGCGCGCTGTACGACTGAAGTCAAAGTTGCCTTATTTCGTGCATATTGTACTTCGTTTTACACGTGCGGTCTGTGGGCTCATTTTACACAAAAAGCATACAGCGCCCTTCGAGTTCAATATAATAACGCTTTTAGGGTGCTGATGGGGTTGCCCCGTTTTTGTAGTGCCTCGGGAATGTTTGCAGAAGCCCGCGTAGATTGCTTTTATACAGTAATGCGTAAGAGATGCACATCCCTAGTGCGGAGGGTGAGGGGTAGCAACAACAGCATCCTGAAAATGATATCTGGCCGACTGGATTGCGCAATAGTAAATAGATGTTGTCGACTGGCCGCGGGACTTGCGCCGTGATT